GGGAAAGAGAAGATGACACCTAGTGGCGGACTGGGCACCCTGGTCAGAGCTGTGCACACACACATCACCTGCAACTGCCTGGAGGCGCAATGGGTGCAGGTGGAGGGCAGGGGTGCACCTGAGGAGGTCGTGGTCAGCCGAGGTGCTGAGGAGGTGCTGAGGACCCCGTCGCCGGCCTCCTGGAGTGTGGGCAGCAGGGTGCTGAGGAGCCCGTCATTGGCCTCGGGCACGATGCCCAGCAGTCTGCACATGAGCTCGTACACATGGATGCTCTCAAAGGGCTCCACCTCCAGGCCCCTCTTGAAGCTGGGGCCCACGGCCCGGAAGATGGTCTTCATGTCCATGATGTTGTTGTCGAAGCCGTGCTCCCCGTTGTTGAACTGCACGTTCAGTCTCTGCGGAAAGGGAGGGCCCCGAGTGAGTTCTTGCTGGCCCTCCCAGCCCACGCCACCCTCTCCACCAGCACCCTCTGCACGGCCCTGCATTGGCAGAGGACCCCTGGAAGGAGTTCAAAGTGGCGGGGGGTGGGTGGGAAGGATTCTGAGCCTCAGTCTCTCTGAATTCTCAGCCCCCAAAGATCAGTGGCCTAAAGAAGGAGGCTTAGCGAAGACCCGGTGACATGAATGGAGACCGCCAAGTAAATGGGGTGGAGCTTCAGCCCAAGGATGCTTGCTGGGCTCCTTTCCGTTGCTGGGCGCCCCGAACATCAGTGCTTCCTCTCCCAGATTTCCTGCCCTGCTCTGCGTCTTGCTTCCCACTCAGCCTCCCTGGGCTCTTTGCTCTCACCTCTTCCGTGTCACTTTTACAGCTAATCTTCCCGCACTTTACCCTATACACACGTGCACACACAAACACATATATGCGTGCACACGTATGCACACACATACACACAGGTATGCAATGCACGCACACCCCCCCCCCCCCCCCCTTCAGGCTGTGCCCCTCGCAGCCCTGATTGCCTCACCGCACCCCCCCCCCCCCCCCCCCACTCCTGTTACACAGTGCAGGTGTGTCCCTTTGGTGGCTGACACTCCTCAAATTAGGGTCTGGCTAGAAACAGGGGGTGCTTTTTGCAGAACTGGAAAGAGACCCAGCAGCCCAGGGAAGCACATGCACCCCCAGGAACTCACCCCATGGATGACATAGCCGAGGTCACTGTACATAAGCAGGGGGGTCACCCTGGGGTGGCTGGCGTAGTGGAAGGACTTGGGGAAGAGCTCCTTCTTGTAGACGTGGAGTCTGGGGTGGGCGTCCTTGAGGACCTCGTATACCTTCTCCAGCTTTCCTTCCTTGGGGAGCAGCATCCCGTTTGGTCCGTAGTCTAGGAGCTCGAACTCAATGTCCTTGAAGGTGAAGTTGGCGATCTTGTGGAGCTCCACCAGGTCGCTGGCGTTCTTGTTGACGGTGCTCATGCCATGGTCGGACACGATGATTAGGTTGAGGCTGCCCTCCAGGCTGCTCTTCCTGATGCTTTCCCGGAGGTAGCCCACGGTCCTGTCCACCTGCCTTACCATATCCTTCCTCTGCTGGGACTCGGGGCCATACTTGTGGCCCGTGGAGTCTGGCTCCCCAAAGTAGAGGGTGACCAGGTCCAGGCCCTCGTCTGTGAACCACGTCATCACAGTGTCGATGTTGGCCCTCCATTCCATCTCGTCCTTGTAGTTGTGCAGGATGCCTTCCTTCCGGCTCAGCGTCACGGCCTCGCCTTGGTAGGTGACATTCCCGCCCGGGTAGAGGAAGGAGCCGGTCTTTAGGCCCTGCCGGGGAGGGGGTGTCAGTGCCTCGGGCCTCCTGCCACTTGTCCCCTGCCTGTCATGAGCTACTGATGCTTCTGCCCTCACCGCCTGCCCTTGCTCTGCCCACTCACCCATCCCTGCTCCTAACCGCAGGCACGGGACTTTGTATTTTCTGAAAGGCCTTTCATAGCTCTTATGTTATTAAGGCTGATACTGATTTTATAGAGGAGAGAGCAGGTGCCTAGTGGACTCAGCGCTAACGAGATAGTAGATATCAAAGTATCCCAGATATGCTGCGTCCTCATCGACACTGTAGCCCTAGGTCACAGTGCTGCCCCAAGAGCCCTCCCCTTCCGGCCTGCAACCCGGCTTCTGCCTGCTGTACTCTCATCCAGCCGTGTGTCCATCGGGCCCTCCACACGCCGCCCATGACCTGCCCTTCTAGACTTCAACCTGGCCATCCGTCTGTCTTGCCACAAACCAATTGCTGTTTTATTTACAGATCCATCCGTCCTCACAACCATCTGTCCATGCATGCCCCGTCTGCCTGGCCACTCCCTCTGGCCATTCTCCCTCGAGATGCCAAGTTCTTGGCTATGCTTTCTGCAAGTCAGCCTGGTGTCTGGTAGCTCCTTCCAGAGCCAGGGGACTCAGATATGAGTGGATGCCTTGCCTATGAGGTGGGGGTAGCCTCTGAAGTTTATTCTGGGCTCACCTTGAAAAACATTCATTTGAGTTTGTTGCCAGGAAGCCCAGAACATTGCAAGATGCTGGGGTCCTGGGCTTTTCACTAGGGTGACCCACCTCTTTAGAATTAGCTGCCCGGCCCTGAGAGGCGTGCCACAGGGGAACAGTACGAAGCCATTTCATTGTTACCTGCCTTTTTGTGGAGTCACATTATTTTCCCCGCGGCCCCCTTCCCACCAGTACCGAAGTCCAGGTTTCACTCCGGTTGGGAGGATGGAACAACCCCTCTGGGTCCCAGGGCTCCAGGGAGGACTGGGCAGGCTGTGTAGCTGCTGGTGGGTCCTCATGGGCATCAGGCTCCCACCTCCCATAGGACCCCACTCAACACTCCTCTGTGCGGGGAGTGTCGGACTCCCAGGGCATGGACTGGGCCTGCCATGGATGTCACGTGGTCGTGGCCTCGTTGGCTGGGTCCCCCTCCCACCTCCCCCGTCTGTCTGAGTGGGTGTGGGAGCAGCATTACCTGCCTTTGGGCCGTGATCCAGATGGGCAGGCTGCCGTTGTCCCACCACCTCTGGACGCCCAGCGTGGCGTGGTAGGGCAGCTTCACCTTGCTGCTTGTGTTGTAGAACATGTTATGGACCACCCCATGGTGCTCGATGTATTTGCCTGTGGGGTGGGCGGGCACGTAGGGGAAGTGGTGGGAGGGCAGGAAACAGCCAGGGCAGCGGGGAAGCACACGCCGCCATGGGAGCCAGGCTGGGCCGTCACAGCCACACGCTCTGACTCAGAGATTCTGCTTCCACTTTGAGCAGCTTACCCTGCGGCTAAACGCGCACAAGGGTGCAAATACGCACGTGCCGGGATATCGTTTGCAACCTCGTTGGTTTTAGCAAAAGGTTGGGAGCAACCTGGCTGGCTATCAGGAGGGAGCTAATTAAATAAATTATGGCCCAGCCATGAAATAGAATCCCAAGCAGGCAGATAAATGAACCAAGAGGAGGCAGGTTTTACAATTTATTGTTTTCGTGGGCAAAATGCCTGTGTGTGAGTTCAGAAGGTGGAAAAGGCGGGGTGATGAAGAGTTCGCCTCCTTTCTCCGCAACCCCATTGTGACATATTAAGTAAGGAGGTGACATGCAAAAGGGAGCACCAGGTGCCTCCGTTTGTGTGTGGAAGGGTCTGTGGCCATGGGAATGCTGGTGTGAGAATAAGCTGTCTGTACCGAATGATGTGCCCCAAAGTTGTGTCCACCCAGAGCCTCCAATTGTGACCTTGTTTGGAAGTAAGGTCTTTGCAGATGTAACTGGTTTTGTTAAGATGAGGGCATTCTGCATCAGGATGGGCCCTAAATCCAATGACAGGTGTCCTTATAAGAAGAAGAGAGATACACAGAGGGGAGATGGCCATGTGACAAGGGGGCAGGGATTGGAGAGCTGTGGCCACAAGTTGAGGAACGCCTGGGCCACCAGAAGCTGGGGGAGGCAGGAAGGATCCTTCCTTACAGCCTCCGGAGGGAGTGTGGCCCTGTGACACCTGGATTTTAGGCTTTAAGCCTAAACAGAGCAATAGTGGGTTCAAGGGTGGCTGAGAGGGGTGAGCGGTGGAAAAAGCAGGAGCCTCAGGCTCATCTCTCCTGCCTTTCTGAGTCCTGGCCACCCTCACCTCCACCAGAAGCCCTCCCAGGTTCCCACCCTGGCTGTGATCACCGTTTAAACTGAGACACCCAGGTGTTTTTATCTGCCTTCTATCCGTTGCCACCAACGGTAAAGGTTGCTGACCACCCCGTTGGCCGTGCCATGTCTGCCCAGTGAGAGTGTTCCCTCCTTGGTTTTCCCTTGGTCTCTGGCACCACGAGCCTCATGGGTCAGGGCTCCATGCATGTGCTCGGTTCCCTTTGTTGGTTCCCTGGTTTCTCAGCTCTCCCTCCACCCCCAAGCCCCACCTGAGGCCAACACTCACCAGTGACCAAGGTGAAGTGGCAGGGGCTGGTCAGGGTGACAAAGGCCGGAGTCATGTAGCGAGCCTTCACCCCATCGAGAGCCATGGCGTCCAGGTTGGGGGTGTGCACGTCCTGGTCATAGTTCCAGCGGAAACCATCAAAGGTCACCAGGAGCAGCTTGTTCCGGGACCCCTGCCGGCGGATGGGCGCGCCTGACGCTGGAACCAGGAGGGTGGCCAGAGCCACGGCGAGGAGGACAGCCGGGCCTCCCATGATGGGTTCTCCAGACATGCAAGAACCCAGGCAGGTGCCTGCTGAGGAGCAGAGCAAAGTCCCAGGGTCACTGGGCAAGTCTTATCCTGTGCAACTGAAATGAGACTGTGCACGTACCTGTGCCTTAGAGAGTGGGCCCCAGCCATGTGTCCTTGCCTGGCCCTCATGCATATCTGCCTTTATAGCCAGAGGATCTCTCTGGGCTCCATGCCCTGCCCCCTTCGTGAATAAGTGTCTTTACAGGAAGCATGGGGACCATTCCCGAAGGCTTGGAGAGCAGAATTGGCCTGCTCCATTGGGAGAGCCTGTATCCCCGCCCCAGCTCTCATAGTAACTCTCTGTCCCTGTGCCCTGCTTACTGTGCTCCCAGAGCACCTGGATGGGAGCCCCTCCTCCAGACCATACTTTGGGGAGGCCTTTGGGGTACGTGGGTCTCAGGCCTGCCTGGGCCAGGGCTGTGGGGTGGGCTGGCCAGGGTCTAGGGGCCAGGGTCCAGGAGGCTGGCCTTGTCCACAGGGAGCCCCAGCTTGGGGGAGTGCCTCTTCCCCTCCCTGCCTGTGTTAAGGGGGGCTCCTGGGATGGGGCAGGCAGAGATCCAACCTGATGGCCCAGATTAGCACCTGCTGTGCCCTCCTTCTCGGGCCCCAGGGAGCCTCAGAGGGGCGCACAGGCATGGGCAATCTCATTGTTGGAGTTCATCAACAAGGTGGTCAGAAGGGGGGCCTCCCTTTTTACCTTGTGCTAATGGGGATGGTGGTGCGGGAGAGGGACCCCTGAGTTCATTGTGCAGTTTTCTCTCTGTCTCTGTCTCACTCACTTTCTCTCTGTCTCTGTCTCTGTCTCTCTCACTACCTATGAAGCATATTCTGTGAGCCAGGCCCCGTTCTAAGTCCTGGGGACACAGCAGTGAACGAGATAAACGGTGTTCTTGGCTTCTTTCATCACGGTTGGGGACACACAAAATAAAATGAATAAACAAGTAAAACAGTAAAATAGAGTCACCAGAAAGAAAGAAAGCTGGGAGATGAGATGGAGCATCTGTCTGGGGGGCGTGTAGGAGAGGGCAGCACCAGATCCGTGGTCGGCCAGGGCCTGGTGAGAGGATGATTGTGAGGGAGTGATTCCGGGGGTCGCCAGCCAGGAGAGTGGGTCGGGGCAGGTGGGAGAGCGGCAGGGCAGGTCCTGGGGCGTGTGGCTGTTTTACGGAGCTGGCATTCTTGTGCAGTGCAGGGAGGATACCATGGGATTTTTTTTTTTTAATAAATAAATAAATATATTTATTTATTTATTTATTTATGGCTGCATTGGGTCTTCGTTGCTGCGGGCTTTCTCTAGTTGTGGCAAGCGGCGGCTACTCTTGGTTGTGGTATGCGGGCTTCTCATTGCGGTGGCTTCTCTTGTTGTGGACCATGGGCTCTAGTGCGCAGGCTTCAGTAGTTGTGGCACACGGGCTCAGTAGTTGTGGCAAACGGGCTCAGTAGTTGTGGCGCAGGGCTTAGTTGCTCTGTGGCATGTGGAATCTTCCCAGACCAGGCCTTGAAACTGTGTCCCCTGCTTTGGCAGGTGGATTCTTAAGCACTGCGCCACGAGGGAAGCCCCCATGAGATGGTGTTTTAAACACGGGAGTGACATAAACTGATGTAACATAAAAAAAAAAAGAACACACAAGCTGCTCCATTTGCAGGATGGTCAGCATGACAATGGAAGGGAGGTTGGGTGCCCCACAGGGAGGGGACTGCTGGTGTCTAAACCAGGGTGGTGGCAGTGTGAGTGACAGATGCAGAGGGAGTTTGGAGGTTTTCCTGGAGGGATTTGCTTCTAGATTGCATGTTGTGGGGGACGGAAAGGGAGCAATCAAGGGAGACGTTCGGGTTTCCCGCCTGGGCAGCCAGGGTGATCATGTCTTGCGTATATCCCATTGGGTGATCAGAGGTCAGAGGGCAGGTCGAGGGCAGAACATTCTATTTTGGCCACATCCAGTTGGAGGTGCCCATGAGAAATTTGACAGGAGGTGTCGAGTCCTTGGTATGTCCTGGTTTAAATTGTCTTCCACTGCTGACCTGCTGAGGGTGGTCCTACCTAGGACTCTGCTTGGCTGGCCAGAGGGATTCTCATCAGGCGATCCCCAGTGTCACAGAGCCGTCAGCAGCCTCCTCTGGGGTGAGGCAGTGGGGACCCTGGGGTGCAGATTCTTGGGCCCTTCCCCCCATCTGCAGAGCCACACCCTGGTGGGAGTCCACGCACGGTGCCGCTCCTCATGATTCTCTCGGATGCTGGAGTCTGAGAGCTGGAGGTGGTCCCCTGCATGGACTCCTACAACCAGGGCATGTGGGGGCTGCCGTGGGCCGGTGTCACGCAGAGCTGGGGTGCAGGAGGACCAGAGGGCAGGCCTTCCCTCACTGAGATCATGGCCCGGAGCTCCAGCCGGTGGACCAGGTACCTGTGTGAGTAGCCACCAAATGTGGGGCACCACGGTGGAAGTGTGGGTGCCTTAGGAGAGAGCAGCGGGGACCACATTCACACTAGTGCTGGGAGTGGGGACCTGAAGCCTACTCTGAGGATCCCGACCTACAGGATGGATTTAGCGGGGAGAGGAGTGGGCAGGAAAGCCTTCCAGGTGAGGACAGACAATGAGGGTGATGAGGTGGAGGAAGGGAGTGATCAGACTTGAGGCTGGGAGGCAGGCCTGGGGGAATCTGGATTTTATGTTAGTTGTCTTCTAATATCAGTTCTTATATCTTCTAATATGTATTCTCCCTTTCTTCCATAATAAAATGTCTGCCAAGAAAAAGAAGACTACATTTCCCAACATGCCCTGCAGTGTGGTTTGGCCATGTGAGCATGTCCTGGCCAATGGGTCAAAAGAAAAATGTCATGTGACAGCCCCCAGTCTCCTCCCAGCGCCAGCTTTGCCCTTCTTTTTTGATTCTTCCTCCCTCTGGTGCCTCAAGCTCAGAGGCTGTCCCGAGGACTGACGATGAGGGGCTCCCCGGGGGAGGGTACACAGAAGGAGCCTGGTCCCCCAAGGCGTCCTGGGCAGTGTGGCCGAGCCAGCCTCGAATGGCTCAGGCCCTGGGGCACCCTCGAAGGGAGAGTTACACAAGCTCTGTCTTTGCTTCCATTGCCGTTATTTGGGTTTTCTGTCACTCTCAGCAGGACCTATCTTAACCTAATCCAATAGGATAATGGCTCTGGGAGGCCCTGCTGGGTTTAAGCAGGGTGTGTGTGACATAATATGCTGGCTGCTGTGTGGGGGGTCGGGAGGCGGGAGGTGAGTGAGGGGCTGATGCAGTGGTCCAGGGGCAAAGCTGGGGCTAGGGGCAGAGGGGCACAGACCTGGGGTATGTTGGTGGCGGGTGGGTGTGGGGTGTGGTGAGGGAGGAGTCGCTCTTCTGTTCTCACTCTGCACATCCTTCTGCTGGTCCTCATAGGGGATATGGGAATTCCCTGGCCTGCTCACCCTGTCCTGCTGGCCTGGGTCTGCCCTGCAGGTGGCATGAAAGGTCCGCTTCCGGCTCTCAGCCAGACTTGGGGGAGCTCCCCTCCTTTCTTTGGCTCTGTTCCTTGCTCACCTCTTGTCACAGGGAGCTGCTTGGCTCACTCCCCATCAGACTCCTTTTTATTCCCTGCTCTCCTAGAGCATGTCAGCAGAAAGATTGTGCGGTTGACTGTAGCTAACAGGGACAGGGCATCTCTGCAGATCAAGCCCAGGGCTTTATCCACGATCTGATTCAAGCTTTGCAGCAGCTCTTGGAGGCAGGAGTTAGTAATACCCTCACTTTACGGGTGAGGAAACTGAAGCATCGAGAGGTTTAAGGTCACTGAGCTATAGTGGAGGAGCTGAGACTTGCGCCCAGGTGTTCTGTTCGCAGAACCCCCCTTGGAACTACTAGATCCCATTGACTTACCAGCCACTTGGGATCTTCTTGTGCAGCTTTGGGGGCTGTTGATTTTTTTCTTTAAAGAATAGTGCAGCTGTGAATATCTTGGTATCACTGACTTTTTTCTTTTCTTTCCCACTCACATTATTTCCTTGGGGTACAGTCCCTAGCGAGGGGTTATTGGACAAAGGATGTAAAGGCTACTTGGTTCTTACAATCAGATTGCCATCAGGAACGGGTGAAGTGGATAGTTGCTGTTACCTCCTCTGCCCCACTATTTTCATTGGGTTTTATTTTTTATTCCTTTTGGGTAGCTTGGTAGGTGTGTAATGACGTCTTAACGTATTAAGCCAGAGAGGCCAGGAGAGTTTCATGTCACGATTTCTTATCTCTAGCTACCTGCATGCCAGATGCTTCATCATCTCTGACCATTGACTGAGTGGTCAAAGCGATCATTGAATCTTAGGGCTTTATTAATTCTTTGTGTAATTTGCAGTGTATATTTTTGGGAAGATATACTTCTGAAATCTATTTTCCTGTCATTTATGTGTGTCACCTGTAACTTTCCCCACCCTCTTGCATGCTGGTCATTCTTCAGGTAGACTCAAAGCTCCCTGCAGGCAGGGCCTGCTGTATTGTTGTGTGTTATGTCCCCAGAGCCTGGCATGATGCCAGCCCAGAGTAGGTGCTCAACGCATATTTATTGAATATGAATAAACACATTTAGAGGGAAAATGTATGCAAGTATCTACCATACTTTCTGGTTAGGCAAAACATTTTAAAAAATAAACTTATTTTGCAATAATTTCAGGTTTATGGAAGAATTGCAGAGATAGTAGAGAGTTCCCATACACCCCATGCCCAGTTTCCCCTATTATTAACATCTTACATTATGTGGTATTTTTGCACAGTTTATGAACCAGTATGGAGAAGTCGTTTTTAACTCAAGTTCATATTCTGTTCAGATTTCCTCAGTGCCTGCCCCAGTGTCCTTTCTCTGTTCCAGGATCCCACATTACACTGAGCTATCACATCTCCTTACGGTCCTCTTGGATGTTTCAGTTTCCTCATACTTTCCTTGTTTTTCATGACATTGACAGATTTTAAGGCGTGCTGGTCAGGGCTTTTGTAGAAAGT